CAAAAAAGCCAAAAGTACTAGAGGATTGAACAAGATTACCTTAAAATTGAAGAAAGGAGCAACCTTTGATCTTGTTTGTGTTGGGAATAGTTTGATCAATGGGGAGGCAATAAACAATGGCGATTGGTGTTGCTTAGCAAAAAAAGTCAACAAATTTTAAAAAAATACACAAATAGGCTCGAATCTTGTTGAACTTACCATATTTGGCAGCCAAATGGCAAGAATTGACCCAAAAACAAAGTGTGTTGCAACTTGGGGCATGGTAGAGATGGTAGAAATTGTAGAAGATCAATTGGAGCAAAATGGAGATCGAAAAGGAAAGGCGGCTATGTTGGGCTTGTAAGGCTGGACTTATTTTCTAGTGCAAATCACTAGAAAATATAGTAGAACAGTTACCCACCAGCAAACTATGACTGACAAATTCTTATTTTCCAGTGTGAGGCACTGGAAAATGTTATGGCTAATATAAATGATTCTTTTTATAAATTAAATAATTAATATTCTTATTATTTTCCAGTGGCTAGCATTGAAAATAATAACACAAGAAAACTTTTCTTGGTGCATTATTATTTTTAGCATTGGCCATTGGAAAATTATTGCTTCACCCATATATTAAGGCAAATTCAAGCATTTGTCAATGACTCTTATTTCTAGTGCATACCTATGCTGCAAATGGGCACTGGAAAAAAGACAAAATTCTAGTAGTGAACATCAATTTCACCAGCATTTTCATATTCAAGTGCATGATAAAAACTTTGGAAAAATATGTTTGATTCTATCTCCTTTAATGTATTCTTCCTTTATTTGTCCAATGCATATAGTATTGTTCTTAAATAATAAAGTCAGACTTCTTTTAATTATTGTAAGGCCTTATACTTCTTGAATTTGTTGTGTCAAAGATCTAAACCATACAGTCCATCACTAATTGGCCTAGTGACCATCTCTTGAGAGGAGTGGTGTTTAAGACATCAAGTCTTGGGTTCAAAATCAGGCACTCACTCCCACACCCCCAATCCCCCACTCACAAGTTTCTACAATTCAAAAAAGAAAAAAGAAAAAAGAAAAAAGAAAAAAGATATAAACTATACACATTCTTGAGTTGCTTCCAATAATGCAACCAATTTTGAGTGATTTAAAGATGTGGCTACAGCTGTTTGTTTGGTTGAGCACTAAGAATTGTAATACCATAATATGTGGACAAATACCCTATTTGTAATCATCATTTATGCAGATCAGGTAGATATCCAACATTCCATATTCAATTAACTCTAGTTTCAAATATTTTGAATAAAATAATTCTATACATTTTGATCATGGAAGACAACAAAGTAAATGTCTAATGTCATTCCAATGTCTTTGTGTTGGGTCAAAACTATACCTTGCTAATAAATTCTTAGAAAATGCAATAGCAAATCATGTATTATTAGTAAATATATTAATGCTACTATGACACTTAAATATGATACTTCAAGACCAATGATTTTTCGTTATCTTCACGAGATCAAAAATGATCCTTCTTTGCATCATGATATCAAACAATCGTTGGTGAGCTAAAAGGATAAGCTTTGTCCATGTTAAATCTCTTCAATATCTTTTTTACATAATTTGATTGATGGACAAGAATTCTATTTGATAAGTGCTCAATTTGTAGGCTAAGAAAAATTTTTGTTCATTTGAGATCTTCCATCTAAAATTCTTTGTTTAAACATCCAACTATTTTTTCAAGATCTTTAGGTGTCTCAATGATGTTTAAATCATCAACATATACTACAATGATGGCAAAACCAAGTTTTGATCTAGTGGTAAAGGTGCATGGACTAATGGGATTATTTCCATGTTCTTCTTTTAGGAGATATTCACCAAGATGGTTGTATCACATTTGTCCTAATTGTTTCAATCCATACAAAGATTGTCTTAATTTATTGAAAATATCTCTTTTGGCATTGAGTTGTATCTTCAGGCATCTTAAGTCCTGTAAGGGCTTTCATGTAGATATCATTAGCAAGGGTTCCATGTAAGTAATTACCACAACTATCATTTGAAGAACTTTAGAAAATGCTAGGCACATAAAAATAACCTGAATATAATTGCATCAATTATAGGAGAATATGTTTCTTCATAATCAATGCCAAATATTTGTATAAAACTTTGAGCTACAAGTCTAACTTTATATCTTATAACTTCATTTTTCTCATTTCATTTTCTTACAAACACTAATTTGTAGCCAACAAACCTTAGATTTTTGGATGTTTGAACTATTGATCCAAAAACTTGACATTTTTCTAATGATTTTAATTCTACTTGAATTGCTTTTTTCCATTTTGGTCAATCATTTCTATGCTAACATTTTCTTTGATAGATTTTAGTTGAAGATCCTCATTTTCATTAACTGCCTTACCATGACTCCCTCCTAGCTTGAATTTGACTTTCTCATTGTGCAATCCCATGGATATAACATGTAAGAGCATCCAAAAAGTGTTCGATGAAAAAGTATATTGTTCATGAAATAGAACTCGATCACACCACCTTAGTATAATCAGAGAGTTACTAAAGTTTCATGGCACTTTCATCTTATCCACATCAAACTTGTTAGCAAACTAAAAAAGATATAGGTTTTCACTAGTCACACTAATCTTCAATCCCTTGGGAGGCTTTTAGGAGGATATCACAGCGTTCTCTACCTTGTTAGAGGAAGCAGGCAAGATAACACGGGCATTCTCTAACCCTGTAAGAAGAAGTAGTCTGCTGTCGCCAAAAGGAAACCCTAGCCAAGGAACCTTAGGTGCACAAGAATAGCAGCTCAAAAAGTAATTAGATTTAACAAAAAGTAGTTGAATACAAATTAGCGTGGCCAATGACAATTGAGGGTGGAGTTAATATAGGAGTGGAATTAATGAAGAGAAAAGAAGTTAAAAAAAAAAAAAAGAAGAAGAGAGAGAATGGAAATTTACCAAATAAGGAACAATAACATGTGTAAAAAAAAAAAGAGGAAATTGAGAAAGGCTTTGAATGTAATACGTGGCATGAATTTGCTTCATTGGTTTCTCTCTCAATATATATGAGTTTTCTCCATGAAACTTTGGGATGCTTGTCTCTTAGATAGTTCCAAGTACGACTAGTTTGGAATGAACCAGTAGGTGATGGCAGTTGGCAACCAATAAATGAGTCTTCTTTCTTCTGATTAGGATACAATATACCACACAATTCAATTTAAGTCTGCAGTAGCTTTCGAGTTCGGACGGGAGGCCAATTCCAAAAGTTATCACTAATGGGTACTGACCTATGAAAGTTTTGCCTGTAGCGGTATAGCCGCTGTTTGCACAATTCTGGGCCCATAAATGTCCAACAAAGGTCCTTTGGGGTGCCAATAGTCAAACTAGAGAAATATTCTTGAACCAGACCCTAGTATATGCTTAACCAACATTTTCGCTCTTGCCCTTAATTGCAATATTTTCCTCAAGCTTTTGCTGGTATGGATTTGTGGAAAGAAGTGAGTGTTATTTAAGTTATTATCCATACAATTTTAAAATGAAAAACAGATAAAGAGAGAAGAGAAGCAAAAATACATATATTAAAACATCAACTTACGGGGAACTACAAGGGAAGGCGAATGTTAGAATCCGACACAAAACTCCAAGCTTAACAAGGCCGGATCATGATCACGTAAACATCATTTTTTTTTTTTTTTGGTACAATATATAATAACATATTTTAATACCGAACGAGAAATAAAAAGAAAAAATAAAAACAAAAAGAGACAGACAACAAGTAGTACACATGAACATAAAAACTCTAAATTAACTCCGGATAGAATACATAATCACGATCTAATAGCTGCTTTACTCACGACCTTGCTTCCACTGCATCTCGTACTAATCCTGGTCTGGCCCAATGACCATGTCTTTGGCTGTTTGTGCAATTTCAACTATAGTTTCACCAATGGCTCCCAGCACTCCTCCAACTTCTCCTACTTCTGCTTGCATTCTTTCCTGTTCTTGAGATCCTTTTTGCTGTTTAGTTTCTTCCCAGGATCTTCCACGTTCCTGAGGTCCCTTGTTCACCTGTTCTTCTTTTCCCACCTCCACATTCCTCATTTTTCTTTCCTGTTCTTGGGATCCTTTGTGCTGTTTAGTTTCTTCCCAGGATCTTCCACGTTCCTGAGGTCCCTTGTTTCCCTGTTCTTCTTTTCCCACCTCCACATTCCTCCTTTTTTGTTGTGTTGTACGACTCTCTTGTGTTGGTTCCTCGGCCTCCACCTCCTTTTGTATACCCCATTTGGCAGGCATAATTGCCTTGTTCTGCTTTCTTACCCTCCACACCCTCTATTTTGGGACGTGTTTGTTGGTTCCCATGTTTTGATTTATCAGCCCCAACCTTCCTCTGTTTTGGTTGTGATTCATAATTCTCTTGGTCTTGATTACTATCCTCTTGTTCTTCTCTGTTTTCAAATCCCTGAAGAGGAGCATCAAACAATATTAAAACTTTCATAATTAATTGATGAAAAATAATGGTAAGTTGTATTTTTTGGCTAAAGCATACCTGTTTTTCAGTTGATTTTTTGGCCTCAAATTCTCTCTCTGCCACTTCTTTCTTCCTGGCAATGTACTCCTTCAAGGTCTCGCCAATAGCAGCAACAGCATCTTTGGCTACATTTAATAAAGGCTTGGCAGCAACCTCCACTGCCTTTTGGCCAGCTTCTTGTACCACCTTGGCAGCAATCTTTGTCCCCTCCACTGCTTTCTCAGTTGTATAATGTGCTGCACTCCAACCAACCACAGGCGCCTTCTCCTTCATATCTGCAGCCTCTTTTCTGCTCTCCACTGCCACATCCTTGGTAGCCACTATCTTCTCTCCAGTGTAACTTGCAGCATTTTTACTAACATCCACTACGGTATCCTTGGCTTGCAACGCGCAGTCTTTAGCTTGTTGTGTATATTTTAATCCAGTCTCACCTACATTTGTAAGGGCATGTTTGGCGTTGCCGGTTTTCTCCGAAAGATGCTGTGAAGTCTTTTGCGCACCTTCAAGGACAACATCTTTTGCTTGTGAACTCTTTTCTGTGGCATATTGATGAGAATTTTGAAGAATGCAGCCCTTGGCTTGAGTACCCTTCTCATTAGCACGCTCATTTGAAACATTGTGTCCTTGGTTTGATCTGTCTTTAGCCTCTCCTGTTCTCTCCCATTGAGATTGTGAAGTTTTTTGGGTGTTGTCATTGGCTTGAGTACCTCTCTCTTTGGCATGCTGATTCACAGCACTAAGGCCTTCGATAGTGGTGTCTCTGGCATGTCGACCAGTGCCTTTTGATTGGGTGCCTTGTCCTTGGCTAAACTGAACCCGCATAGTGTCCTCTGGCAGGGCACTCTGTTTAGCCTCATGGACAAATTCTTTTGCTTGGTGACCCTGCCCTTGGCTAACTTGGTGATTCTGGCCTTGGCTAGCATGGTGACCTTGCCCTTGCCTAACTTGGTGACTCTGCTCTCGGCTAGCTTGGTGACTCTGGCCTTGGCTAGCTTGGTGGCACTGCCTTTCGCTAATTTGGTGACCCTGCTCTTGGCTAGCTTGGTGATCCTGGCCTAGGCTATTCCAATCACTGTGAAGATCGTCTTTTGCTTGGGGATCCTGCCCTGAGCTAAAGTGAGCAACTTGCTGAGCAGATGTGTCCTTTAATGCGCCCTTTTCTCTGGTCTGCTCACTAGCAGCATTAAGCCCTTGAATTGCTGAATCCTTAGCCTTGTTGTATCGCTCCTCTGCTGCTCTTATTGCCTCCATGGAGTTCTGCTGTGCTGCCTCTCTGAGCTGAGAAATTTCGCCTAGAGTATGCTGCTCTGGTCTTTGATTTCTGCTTGTTCCCTTCTCTTGTTGTTTCTAATCTTCGCTACGATCTTTAGCGAATTGTGTTGAACCAGCTCTGTTTTGGTCTCCCCTATTCACCTCAAATTCCCTACAGAAAACGCCCCACCTGTCCTCCCTTCCTGTCTATCTTTCTCCTCTCCTCTTTCAAGGCCGGACACATTTACGTCCCTTAGTTTTACAGAGGGAGACTCGACCGCACGAGCTCCAAGCTCGTGGCTCTCTCTCGCTTTCCCAGCACCAGCCGCATCACCAACATTATTTCCTCTCCTTTCTTTGTTATCATGCGAGTCTCTTTGGCACTCATGAGGAGAAACTTTACCGCCGGTGCTGATATCCGATTCTCTAGCTCTGTCCACGAGAGACTCAAAGTGACTGGCCATCATGGGGACTCTCTCTTTCTCCACCTGGTGAATCTCTCTCTCCACTATGGTATTACCTCGGCGGCGAGCTTGGGCTTGATCGGATGCCATTGCTGTTGTTTAGACTTCTATATTTGATATAGATGTATGCTCGTGTTTGGAAATTTTGAGGACTGAGTTCTGGAATTGATCTGTGAAGGGAAATGGGGGTAAAACGTCGGAGTGTAAAAGAGGGAAAAGTGAAAGGAGATTGACATGTCTGGAGGTGAGCGCTTACAGGTGTTAAATGGCGGTAACTTTGGGAAGCGGATGCTGATGATTCATCTTTCAAATCGCTGGTGGGTGATTCCACGTGTGAGAGGCTAGCATCAGATTCAAGCTTATGTCCCATCCTGGTTTTTAAAACCGGACCGGTGATTGAACCGGTTTGCTCACCGGTTTCCAATTTGATCGGTCTGACCAATTCAACCGACCAACCAACCAACCGGCCGGTCAATCAAAATACCACTGTTTCAAAATTTATAAGTAAAGTAAATCTAATTTAACAATTTTCATGAAATAATTAATTAATTATAATTAATAGCCATTGTTTTACACTTTATAAGTTTACATTCACTGAAGCTGGAAAAAAAAATCAATTTCTATTTCAGACTTTTCAGTGAAGAAACAGATTTTGTCCAACTCACCGGCAGCACCCTCGGATGGACGCGACGGTGAAGGCCTCTGGTGGGTGAACGCTGATTTGCTGCTGCCTGCTGACCATCGATCTGCTAGAGAGACGATAAACGCTGATCTGCTGCCCGATCTACTGCCTTGTGGTTTCTTCTTCGCCGGAAAAAGGACGGAGACTGAAGAATGGAGACTGGAGAGAGGAGAAGTCGAGAAGGAGAACGATGGATGATGAAGATCTGCTGCCCGATCTACGGATGGACGATGGATGATGTGGGTTTTTTGATTTTGTTTGGTTGTGGTAACTGGTAAGAGTTGAGATTGGGAGTTGGAAGAGTTGAGAATCAGAGAATGGAACGAAATTAGAAAGTAGAAACCTCGATTGTGGGAAAAAGAAAAAAAAAAACTTGCAGAACGTGCGTCGGTGGTGCCGTCCAGCCTGGGGCAATTCGCCCGGCGGGTTTGTCGGGCCGTCTGGGCGGGACGGGTGGAACAGGTTCTCCGGGTTTGGACGGGCCAATCGTCCAAACAGGCCTGGGTGTCAACCCAGCCCGTTTCATGCTCCGAGCGGCGGTCAGACCGATCGAATCGACCAATCCGGTCCGAGTTTCAAAACACTGTGTCCCATATGAAACGGTTGAACACGTAGATATAATCAAGCTAGCTCATTTTGCATCTTCTTCGTTTTAGGCCCCGTTTGATATAGCGGTTTTGGGATAGCTAGTAATGGTTTTACCTAAACCACTACATATTGATGTTTAATAAATTTATATATTTCAAAACCGTTACAAATAAAGTGTTTGGTAAAATTTTTATTTAGCGGTTTGAAACTAGCGGATAGCGGTTAGGGTCCAAATCGCTAACGGATTGAAAAAGATAGTTTATGTAACTTTTTGTATCAAATCGTTAGCAGATTAAAATTTTTTAATTTTATTGATAAATTTATCCATTTTAATTTTTTAATTTGTGGTCACCTTTCTTAATTAATAATTATCTAATAAATTTCAACATTTTTTTTACTTTTAATAACATTAAGTGATTACAATATTTTTTTGTATATTAATTTATAATTAAAAAATATAATATGTTAAAAAAATTTTGTTAATTAGACGAAATAATTAATTTTTTATTTAAAAATAATATAATTTTTTCTTTTTTAAAAATAAAAATGAAGGTGTAATTACATTATTATAATTAATTTTATTTATTTATT